ATATATAACCTTTAGAGATTGGTTTTTTTCACTTGAAACCCCATCCAAGTCACTATGTGAACTAATAGTTAGTTCCTTTTTACGGCTGCATAGTAAGTATTCCACAGCATAGATGCACTACCATTTTTTTCCTAAACATTCATTTGCTGAAGGATGTTTTAGTTTCCAATTTGTGGAACTTAAAAATGTCTATGACCACTCGTGCATAGGTTTTATGTGAAAACAATTTTCCATTTCTCTGGAGTAAATGTCCAAGGATATATTTGCTGGGTTGCACAAGCCTATTTTAAAAGATAAAGAAACAGAAACTATATATGATTGAGCTAGGTTTATAATCCAGTTAGTCTGTAAATATTAACTCTCATATTATTTCCAATGGTTTTAAAGACTAAAAGGGGGAAAAATGGAAATAAAGATACAGTAAGAAATTAGTGAACAGAACTCTCTATTGTTCAGAGGAAGAGTAAATCAGTAACTATCTCAAAGATGGTAACACAGTTCCACCTTTGGAACATTAAATAGAGAAAACAGAAATTCACTTTCAGATATTTTGTAGCTAAAGATCTGCTGCTTATCCTCATCTAGTAAATATGCAGATTCTAGAATTGAAACTAGAGATCAAGAGAAAGCTCTAGGTTATCAATATAGATTTGAGAATTATCACATGTAGACACTGAATGAGGTCCTGAGGGTACATAAAACCAAAAAGTAGTAACCTATAAAATGAGAAGTAATCTGAAACAGAACTCTGAAGAACAAAAACATGGGCATCTAAAAGTTCACATACTTACTTTTCTCTAGTTTCTCCCCCCAACCCCTGCCATAAACAATAAAAAGATACTACTGTCATAGGCAACATAACTTGTAGTCTTATACTCTTTTTCTCAAAATTGTACTTTTTTTCATACCTGTATTCATAAAAGTCAGAAAAGCAGAAAATATAGAATTCATAAAGATTAACCATGAATTTCTAAACTGAACCAGTATTTACTGAGTTAATAAGTAAATCTAAGTTTTACTATATACTAATGGGAGAATGGTTATGCAAAAGATAAAATATACAGCTTTACTGTATTACAGCAATATTACAAAAGGATCTTTGACCAAAAAATTTTTCCTCAATTTTTATCAATGTAATGCTAGATATAGATTGCTTTCAGTGTACAGCATAAGAATAAATATCCTGCAAATTAGCACGGGTTTGAAGTGTGAAAAAACACCCCAAAGCTTGGGCTAGAGAGAGCAGCTAAGAAAAAACGAATCCAAAGCAAAACACTCAGCACAGTTATCTGTGGTAACTTTAGCTCCTGACTATAAAATGTAACCTAGATATGACTTTAAAATAGTGAAAATGTATTGCACTATAGAAAACACTTTGTCAAGAAGACAAAGATTCTCACCACTGGACCAACTGGCAGCATCAGGACGGATGGTGAAGAGATTGAGATTGTACACAGCTTTAGTTTGCTTGGCTCCACAGTCAACAGTCTTGGCACCAGCAGCCAGGAAATTAAAAGGCGCATTGCCATGGGAAAGTCTGCTGTTAGGGACCTCTCCAAAGTACTGAAGAGCAATGGTGTCTCTCTGGAGACTAAGGTCATCTGATACAGGTCATGGTCTTCGCAATCACTTGTTATGCATCAGAGAGTTGGACAATGACCAAGGAGGATAGAAGGAGAATTGATGCCTTTGAGCTGTGGTGCTGGAGAAGAGTATTGAGAATACCATGGACTGCTAGGAAAACAAACAGATTCGTCCTGGAAAGGGTTAAACCGGGTGGCTCCTTGGAGGCAAGGATTCTGAGGCTCTGTCTAACATACTTTGGACATGTTGTGAGGAGAGACCGGTCCTTGGAGAAGGACATCATGCTTGGGAGGGTGGAGGGACAGCGCAGGAGAGGAAGGCCCTCTATGAGGTGGATTGATTCAGTGACTGGGGTCCAGAACCCTTGAGACTGGAACACAGGGAAAGACAAAGCAGAGAAAGCATGTATCCTTTGAGGTACGTTCCTGTGCCAGAGGTATCTTGGTGGTGATTGAGAAATTGCCTGGATTATTTTAGGGACTGTTATCTTGCTGGCAACTGAGAAGCTGTGTGAACTTGTAATGGATTGCATTCTGCAGTTAACCTGGTTTGTGACTGCTTTTTTGCTAAACTTGGACTTTCCCTTCTTCTCCCCAACCTGTTACCCCAATAAACCCCACAACTGTGAGTAAAATGAGATTCTATAAAGTCTGTGTGGTCATTTGCAACAAATACTGAACACAGTGGTAGAAACAGATGTAGGAGTATGGCAGATCATATATGAATAGGTTTTATACTGTGGATATTGTTAATGGAGACAGTTTTCTTTTGTGGAATTAGTACAGGTCAGTCATGGTTGTCCCTGTGCTGTCCTTGTTACTTCTACAATCGTTTAAAAAGAAACTGTATCAACAGCAGGTAAAGAGAACAGCTAAAAAACACACATTCTCAGAAGAAAGCTCTACAAGATTGTGTAATAAGGTAGTTTCAATCCAGCTATAAACCAGCTTCATAACTTTCTGTGACAGTTCCCCTCTAGAATTCGTAACACTGTATTTTAGACAATGGCAAAATCTTGAGAAAAGCACAGAGCCTACTAGCCAGATTAAAAAGACATAAAAAGGAAGCAATTTTGGACATTAAAAAAAAACAAAAAAACCACCCAAAAACAACGAACTAAGAATCTGCAAGCAAAAATCTCGCTGTTCTAGCCTAAGACAACAATATGAAATATCATACTGTTCAACTGATAACTTGTTTGGAGACTTTTAGCCCATATTTCTTCATTTTAGCTTTTTATTGTGTAGCATTGGTTCTTTTAATCAGAGTTTGGTCATGTTGAAAACATTGACCATTTTTAAACTTAAAATACTACTGTACAAAATCAAACCTGTATTAAAAAACAATCAAAGAAACCTAAACCTGCACTCCATATCAAGCTAGTTTAATGGCTGGATTAAAATAAACTTTCAAGGTCCATTCAAGAGCAAATGATTATACTAATAATACAGCCATTATTTCAAATGTCTTATAAAACAAAAAGAATACTGAAAAGTACTAGAGGAACTCTAATGGTGTATAAACAAAAAACCCATTATTAAATACTAAGTTGCACTGGTGTTTCTTAAATGATTTGGTAATTTCTAAGTTGATGTCAACTTCACTGCATTCTACAATGACACCTACTGGCCATTCAAAATCAGCCATTAGTTGTCTAAGACAGCTCTAGGCGGTTGGTTACATAATAGGAAGACACACACATATACACACACACTCTACCCTGCATAAATGCAGATTTGTTCATAGGTACTCAACACACTACAGAATTGTACCCAAACTGTACCCAAAACAGAACAAGAAATATTCTTTGTTACTGAGATAAAATTATTCTTGTAAAAGAGAAAACAAAAGTAAAACACTAAATGGCAAATTTTTACACAAAAACATTATTCTAAACATTTCAGAACAAACTAACAAGCTGCAGTGACCCACTTCTCTTTAATGATTATTTTACAGAAAGGGAAGTTCTTAGTTAGGTTCTGGAATATTCTAATATAAAATACCATTAAATACCACTAAAAGGAAAAAAATTACCTTTTTTTTTTAAAAAAAAATTACCTCTTTGAAAGCTATTATGGTATACATTGTTTTTAAAACTCTTGGAAAAAGTGAAGCTTGCTAATATACATCAGTCTAAATTAAAGGCAATAATCCAAACAGCTTACATTTTAAGAATTTATAATGTTTCTTTTAAAACTATCTTCCAGTTAGCAATAATGTAAAGGTTTTATGCCATTCTTCCATAACACATACTAAAGCAGATTAATATTTTTATTCTGTATTTCTGTTAACAAATAATTATTAAAAAGATAATTCACAGTAAATTACACCTGTAAATAAAAATTTACTCCAGAACAAGAAGCTCAATAAGCATACCTTTTAAACCTAACAAATACATAATTCATAACCATCCTCTCAATCTTACCTAACAAACTACTTAAGAGAGGACTTTCATCCCAATTCGGACCACCACCTTATTTTCACAGTTCCAAATATCCAGACTATCTGAAGGTGAATCTACTAATCTTCCAGTCATTTCCAATGTGTTCCATTTACTATGGATTTTGTAAGGCTCTTCGGTTTTCTTAAGATTAAATATATTTATGTACTTTATTTGTTATCAATCTTAATTCTCAAAACAAATACATTCCAGAATTAGAAAATGTTAATCTGGCCACCTCCACCTCAAACCAACATCACAGCTCTGAATCCAAGTCCATATTTGGGAGAAGCTCTTCGTGACTACTCTACCCTTCATGCTATCACCCTTCGCCTACAGAGTCTGCCTGGGTAGAAAGCACTCGAGCCAAGGAAAAAAAGTATTCTGACACATCAATAGGTTGCAAGACCTCCTTTTTTTTCGGGAGGCATAACCTACTTGTTTGGGTAAATAACAGGCAAGTATTACATAATGAATAGCTATAAAGAGCTTCAACGATCTTGGCACCAGAAAATACCTTTATTCTCCAATCCTATCCTCTCTAGCTCAAGAAATGGCCCTAACCTGTAATCCTGAGGATTTTTCTCAAGCGCCTGCAATGCTTCACGTTCTTTTATAGCTTTGGGTTTCATGCAAGAATTCCTCCCGCCCTTACGACAACCTCTTGGTCCTATCTCTTTACTGTTTCCCAGCCAGCTCCTCTCGTCCGTAGGTGCCACCGCAGCCCCACAAGCCTTAGGGCCCAGCAGGGCCCACAGGGTTCAGCGCTACCCTCCTTAGCTGCTTTCTCCTCCTAGTCACGACCCTCCCAAGCGGCTACCTGGTCTACCAGAGGTTCCTGGACCGCCAACGCTCCAGCTACTGCCTTCACAGACTACCCTCGTCAGTTCTCTTCAATCGTTCTCACAGCGTGAGAAGAGGAAAATCTTTTCTGATCTAGCACTTTGCGTCTCTCAAAGAGAGCGCCGCCACCTACCTGTCAACCCGCTGTCTCTGGCTTCCTACCGCCACCGCCTCCCACAGCAGCCTGCCAACTGCAGCGCAACAACCAGCCCTTCCATTGGATGATTCTATGCTCTCAACAAAAGCCTCACTTACTGGCTGCAGCAGTGCACCGACCGCCCTCTGTGCAGCGTCCAAGGATTCCGGTCTTCAAGCGAGGACGATTTCTCCTCTTTCCTGTCCTTCTCTCCTTCATAATGTATCTTAATTAACTTATATTGAGGATGAATCTATGTGGAAAAAACTCTTGATTTCCACTCTCCTGTATATATCTTCCACCTGTTCCAGGGATCAGTGACTCAGGACCGGAACGTTGAATAGCTTCTAGGTTTTCTTACCGTAAGCAATCCAAGGTTACAATTTCCGTTTCCGGCTAGGTTCTGCTGGAAGCTTGAGCTTTCTGTGTCCTGAGAGGTCAGATTACCTTCAGGTAATTCAGATAGTTGGGAGAATTTTGGGTTGAGGATAAGAAAGAGATTCCATTTGGGGAGTGGTAGGAAGGGACGGAGAAAGGTGAAGAGAAGGCAGAGTTTAAGAGGGAAGCAGCGTTAAGATCTAACGGCAGGTCCGTGTTTAGAGCTGGTAGTGAGGGGTGATTTGGAGAAGGACGCCGAGAGAATGTCTGTGGCTGGTAAATCCAAGTACCTTTTCTCTGCTCTTCCCACCCCTCTTAGCCCACATTATAATTTGTTTTGCCTTTGAAGCAAATAAAGGCAACCCCACCTCTTAAAACCTGAAACTTTATGAAATAGGAATAATTGTAATGCCAACCCCAAAGGTTGCATAGTTTTAAGTAAGCTTTTGGGTGTGTGTTTATTGTTGGCTTGTTTTTCTTTTTTTTTATTTTAATTTTTTAAAATTTTTACAAGGTATACTTACATCACAACAACAACAAACTTACGATAATGTTAGTAATAGGAGCAGATACAAGATCTTACCCTGATTGATAACTTTTAAAATTGTTTACATGTAGGGATGGAATTAGAAGAAAACATTAAGTTTAAAAAAAAATTTTAATATTCAAAGTTTTTAAAATGATGGTAAGTTGGGATAAAGTAAATATGTAGAGGTGGCATTATCTTACTTTTTAGGGAAAGTATGCCATCACTTTTCTTATACTTGAGCCAACCCTCTTTATAGGAGATTGACTCAACCAAACTTAACTCTTCACTTCAGACCAGGGTTTCCAACCAGTTCGTGTCATTTTGTCACCCTGCTGAGAATATGCAAGATTCCGAAGGTCAATTTTAGACATGCATAAAATTCTGCAGTTTAACAAGGTATCTTTAGATGTTTCCTATGTATAAATGAGACATTTCACCAAGATTCCCGATTTTTCTTTCCATGTTGAACTAATTTTATTACTGTTATTTGGACAGCTTTAAAATGAGTGTTGTTTAATCCTAAGCATAATTGAAGTAAATTTTTTTCTGATTTTATGTTTTGTTATAGAGTATATATGTAGGAAGGAGCTCTGGTGGACTAGTGATAGCTGTGCTACAATCCCAAAGGCACGCGGTTCGAATCCACCAGCTGCTGGGGTTTGGGAGGGAGAATGATGAGCATTCTCTTCCTATGTGATTTATTGCCTCTGAAAACCCACTGGAGGGTCAGCCATGGGTTGGTTCCAACTCAAAAACATTCAACAACATACATATAGGAAAGCGCTCTGGTAATTTAAGGAGTTAAACCGCCAATTCTAAGACACATGGTTTAAATCCACCTGCAGCTTAATGGGGGAAATATGGGCAGTCTCCTCTGCTATGATTTGCAGCCTCTGAAAACCCACTGGAGGGTCAATTATGAGTTGGCTCTAATTCCAAGGTATACAACAACATGCATATGGGAGAGGATATAAAAGAGATATACATTCTGAAGAAATACAATTAAACACTTAAGTAACTATTCATTGGATTCAGAAATAAAGTATTATCAATATCCTACAAAGTGCATTCTTTTTGGGGTAATAACATACAATGGGATATCACCCTGTTGAGAAAACGCTGACACAAAAAATCTTCAGCATTAGGATGATTTGAGGTTCTCCAAATTGTCATGATACATAAACAGATATACTTTATCTGTGGCGTTGAAACTCCATGAGACAGAGGAATGATTTGTGGGGAAATGTCCAAAAGTTTCCTGTTTCCACTCATAGTGATGCCATTTGTGCCAAAGGAGAACTGGAAGCCATAGGTTTTTCATTGACTTATTTTTTCCAAGGTACATTGCCAGGGTTATTTTGTGAGGTGCCTCTACATGATTTCACACCTTCAAACTATCTGTTAGCAATTGAGAGTGAAACCACTTGTACCACACTGGGAGTCTGAAAAGATTCCTTAGGGGAATAGTTTTTTAAAAGGTAGAAACACTGCCGTAGAGGTGCTGTGTTGTAGCTGTCATTCTGTTGTCTCAAAAGTGATAATCACTGTCCTGACTTGTGATGACCATTCTCTGTTTAACTTCAGTTTTTTTCATTTATGATGTAGTTCTCAAAAAAAAATTTTGATATTTTTTTTCAACTGTTAGTCATATAATGTATATTTTTTTTCCCTTTGAGTTTATTTTTCTTCCTATATGACCATGAGGGATGTATATAATTTAAAATTTTTTAGTAGACACATTTAAAATATTAGAAAGGAAGAGATAAAATTAATTTTAATAATGTATTTCATTCAATTCAATGTTAAAATTTTATTTGAACTTAGTCAATATTAAAATGAAAGTATTTTTAATGAAATAGCTTATGTTTTTAAATTGTCTTTGCAATTTATATGTGATACACTATTTGCAAAATATCACAATTTGTATGCCAAGTTTTTAAATTTTACAATTGGAAAAATATTATGCCCAGAAGGTTCCAAACAAACTGTAATTTTCCAATAACTGACTGGAGAATTGGTTTGGAAATTTAAATGAAATAAAAGAAATTCATTACATTTCCTAATTACCCAGATGCACTGGCCACATTTCAGATAAGCTGTTAACACAGATCTAGAGTTAAGTGGCTTTTCCAGGTTTTTATAGCTACCAATAGTGTATCCAAGATTTTTTTTTCTTCTTT